CCACCACTATTGCAACATGTCATTACACCCCAATACCACCACCATCACACCACACCTCAATACTACTACCACCACCACACCACAATTCCACTGCTATCACCACAGCAACCTCATGCAGTCAGCCAACATGCTACCTCAAAAGTTCTACAGCCCTCAGGAAGCCATCCTCTCTATCTACGCCAAAAAACTTCTGACGGACTCGAGGCCCGGATATCTGGCTGTGTGTCCCAGTGACATGGATAGCACGCACTGCAGGAACCAACTTCTCGAGTTGAAGATCCAGGTGTCACGTGTTCACACTCAACCAATCAGGTCTCCTGAGCCGAGAGTCCATAAGAGACCTGATCTCAGCTATCTCTGATTTATTTAACTAGTCGGTCGATTGATTGAGTGATTGATTAGTCGGTTGGTTGATTGATGGGTTGGCTGATTGTTTGATTGACCAGTTGGTTGATTGGTTAGCTGGTTGATTGTTGGTTCATTGAAATACGTTTGATACATTGTTTCACATTCGGCAGTCTGATGTGCCGAACGGCTTATCGATAAAAACAACATTAACATAACTTATACTTTGATGTGTCACCGCTCTGTGTAAGTTGTTTTGCGTTCATTCTTCCCAACCAGACTTTGTTCCATCCGGAATTTGTCCGACTGATCCTGATGTATGCAATCAGTCAGGGACTTATTTATTCAATTATTTCAATCAACCAACCAACCAATTGATCAACTAATTCATTAATCTACTAATTAATCATCCAAACAATCATCATTGTTTTCTTTGGTTTTTCTCAGTTCGGTTTTGTCCATCATGAAAAATTGTTCATTCAATCCAAATTACATCTAAATTTTATGTGTTTGTAATTCCTAATTCTTACTTGTGTTTCTATGTGCAATTATCTTTTCTCTCTCTCTCTCTCTCTCTCTCTCTCTCTCTATACACTCTCTCTCTCTCTCTCTCTCTGTCTATTTATCTATCTATCTATCTATCTATCTATCTATCTATCTATCTATCTATCTATCTATCTATCTATCTATCTATCTATCTATCTATCTATCTATCTATCTATCTATCTATCTATCTTTTTTTCTCTTTCTTTTTTTCTATACTCCAAACAAAGACACCCATATTGTTTTTATTACGTTATTTTTAGTAAACATTTTAAAAGACGCCTTTGTAAAAAAAAACAAAACAAGGCAATCTAATGCTCTTTCCATTCAATGTTATCCAAATGATATCATTGTAATGTAATGTGATATGACATGCTGTAATCTAATGTAATGTATGCAACTAAAACCAACCTTGTATGAATAATAATTAGTTAATGTTACGTAACAGCAAATGCTGAGATGTAGTGTAATTTAGTGTGACGTTTATATGTATATATATATATATATATATATATGTGTGTGTGTGTGTGTGTGTGTGCGTGTGTGTGTGCGTGTGTGTGTGATATAAGGTTATGATTTGGTAAGATGGATCTACTTGTGATCGAGCGTGCTCTAGTTAGATTTTCTTGATAAATGTTACGAAATCGAATTGCTTGTAACGTGTGGTGTCAAACATGTTGACGTGAAATCATGTGATGTCCTAGCGGGAAAATAGTCTGAAATATTCTATAAATACATAAATTTATTGGGTCTCTTTGCTTTCGGTTTCATGGTTTTTACATATAATAATTCGTTTGAGGTTTTTAATCGTGTACATCTCTTTTAATTGTTAATTTATTTGTTTTGTTATTAAATTAGTTAATACGTAATTAATTGTAATTAATTAATTAGCTAATTAATTAATTGTGAAGTTAATTAATTAGTTGTGAAGTGGGTGATACATTTGTTAATTTTGTTTTCAAACTACAAACATCCCTGAAAGAAAGAGAGAGAGAGAGAGAGAGAGAGATAATAGGTTATAAATAAATCATTGTTAATTATATATATATATATATATATATATATATATATATAGATCTACAATTTCATTTTCTCATACGCACTCTCACTCATTCTTCATTCATTTACCCACTCAGTTATTTGTTTCATTCATTTATTCGTTCTAATTGTAAATAACGTATTTGGAAAATTTACTACAAATAATTTTTTTCATCACTTTGTAAAGCTTATCAAACGATTTCATATTGAAGATTATTATTATTATGAAACTTTATGAATATCTTGTTTCAGATTTAAATTTAATTAATATTGTTAAACCCTGCTTAATGGTCTAATTGTATTAAGTAGATTGTAACTTTTTCACATTTGTGTAATTTATTGACTTGTTATTTCATTAACTCATTTGTATAATGTTGCTACGGATATCTACATTGGATATGTCCTATTTGTCTATGTACGTATGCTTAAGTCTGATGCATTTTTGAAAAGGAAAGTGTTTAAATTGTTTATTTTTATGAGTATTTGTTGAGTTTTTAAATAAAATAACCATTATAATGATGGTGGTGGGGATATAGAAAGTGATGCTATGATTGGTTCGTTATAATTTCAAAAGTTTATGATGGCATAAAGTATGAAAATCACATTTCAAGATCACAGTCACATTTTCAACGTACAGCGAGCAACTTTAAAGATAAAGAAAAATATTTTTTTTTAATATTATATCACCACGGTCGTCATTTTAAACTTATATGGATTATTATTATACGATAACTTGAAAGTTTTGGGGAACGCCATTCGGTGAAGTCTTCCTAGCGAGACAAAATTTTGCGCTACGAGTTAGAATCAACAGCAAATCAATTTTTGTGTGCTGGTATTATCAGATGAATTCCAAAATTTGTAATTTCTCAAAATTTGGGATATGTGATTTTCATTATCCTTGGTGATTTTTCCACGAAGTTGCGATTGTTTGAGTCTGGTTATTTGAATTGTGCGTCTCTTTTACGAATGAATGAATTTGTAAAGATCACACAACTAACTTCTTTTGAGAATTTATTCGAAAACTAAATATGCAAATCAAAAATTGAAAAATTTCATAAGGCAATGTTTATTTTATAAGATGTCGAATTTGAATTTATTCAGTTAACTCAGAGAACTACTTAACATTTAATTTTTTTAATTTTAAAAATCGAAAATTGCAATTTAGATAAAATTTTAAGATTACTGTGAACCCGAATAAGAATGAAGCAGATAGAAAATAAATGATCATTATGTACAATTCAGATCAATAGTTCAAATTATTTGTTATAAAACTAAGACGCTACGAAACTAGCAGCTGGCCACCATCCATAAATACAACATAGGAGGAACAGATTATTTATTAAAAACTAAATTTTTGTCAGTTTCATTCCCTTTCACTGCAAAATAATACAAACAATTAGTTAAGGATGTAATACTAATTCTCAAATAGTTGCCTCTGCGGTTAGCTGATTGTCAGAAAAGATGAAAATTCTTAAAAAATGTGTGAACTTTTCTACGAACGGTTTATTAAATGCTTGAAATATTTAGATCACAATGGTTATAAAAAATGTTTAATATCGGATACTTTGTAAAAGATAAAAAAAAGGCTAACATGACCAAGATAGAACTTTTGAAACTTATAAAACGCTATGCACCAATAGACACATCCCTCAATAATATTTGTAGCTAAGGGGCAATTATTTTGACTCACCATGATTCGTAGAATGTGTAACGTGCAACTCAATGTTCTAATGAAGAAGACTAGTTAATATATAAGCAGTTGTCTGATGAAGAACAATAGTTTCGTTTCGGTATTTTTATAGCGCTTCACTTAAATAGACTTAAGCGGTCAAGTGGTGGCATAAATTAGTATTAAGATGTGCTTTCATTGCATTTTGTTGCACCATCTATATGTGATGATGCCTTTAAATGATAATAATACTTCAAGTTTGTGCATGTATACTGCCTTTCAGAATATGTACAGCTAAAGCGAAAATTATTTTATTTAAACCGATAAAACGTAAAGAAAAGACATAAAAATTTTGTGTGGTGGTGTTCCTTGCAGTCAAATTTCCACAATTGACATGAATGAAAACGAATGGAAATATTATAAATGGTGATATGAAGGAGCAACAAGCCTGCTAAAACCGAACATCATACGCAGAAACTTGTATGGCTATCAAATTTAAACAGAAAATCTTTAGATAATAAAAATAAATGTATGCATTAGAATATTATATATATATATATATAGATAGATAGATATTTATATATATAATTTAAAATAAAATGTTCAAAGTAACTGAAACACCACCAGATAAATAAGATTTTAATCAGATGAACTTAAAATGCAAGCATCTGGTATCGAACGGATAGATTCAAGTCAGATACCCAATACGCTGTTTATGCTTACACAACATAATTATATATATATATATAAATAAATATATATATATATATATATATATACATACAAATAATTTATGCAAGTAAGTAAAATACATTAGTTTGAACATGTGGTATAAAAAGCATTATAAACTTATATAAGCTTATACATGATTGATACATGGCATTTCAAATTTCTATCAAAAATGACGTCATCATCATTTAAAGTAGTCCCATACAGCGAATATTTCTCTTATTCTAAAACTCTACACTGAGAAATTCTTTTTTTTCTTGGTCCCGAAAGTGAATAGCTAAGATCGAAACTTTTGAGAAATAAGCTCTTCGATAAATATAGACACATACACGTAAAAATGCACGTACAAATGCGCATATGCATGCATGCATGAGTGCATTTTATATCGTCATCTCATCTGCTCTTATCTACACACTGCATAATACCACAAAAACGTGAATGTGATTAGTTTTCTCTAATCTACTACGTACCCGAAACTATAGCATAAGTATAAGATGGAATAATATTCATGAATAAGTTAACAAAATGTTTGAGTGAAGTTCAAAACATGTGGCTAGCACCTTAGCGCCACATATTTTTTGTAGCTGCGGTAACTAAATTTCATCAAATCAAGCAGTAAGTGGACGTCAGTTACTAAAAGATGAAAATAATTTTACTTTTACACCTAACTCAACTTTTAAACATCAGATGGTTTCATTTGAGGTCTCCTTTCTTCACCATCGCTTCCCTGCTTGGAGTCATCCTTGGGCCGACGTAACTTGATGCCGGAGGGTTTAGCGCTGGTAGGTGGGGGTCCAGATAGTCTGTTGGTAGATTTGTTGGAAGGAGATGTCGGTGGAAGTTGCTGGACTGTGGCTGTGGTCGTCGAGTGTTGCGTGGTTGTGATTGTCGCTATCATGGACTTTGGACGAACACCGTTCGTGTATTTGGGTGGTGGCGAAGAAGTTGATGTTGTCGTCGTGATTAGAACGTTTGTGGTGGTTGTCGATGGGTCAACGCTAATGTCCACGTTGTTCAATGTCTGACTCAGTCGGAAGGCCAGTTCCTCGTTGTTCATGGACAGTCTCTTCTTTGCCCGACTTTCCTGATCCAACTTCCTCAATAGTACGTTGTGTTTTTCAGCTAAATCTCTGTCACGTGGTTGATTAAGTGATTGATTGAGTGATTGACTGATTAATCGATTGGTTGATTGATTGATAGATCAATCTGTCAATTGATTAATTAGTTCCATGGATGCTTGTTTATTAAATTAATTGATCATGAGTTTAGTTTGGTCAGAGAATTTGTTCTTAGTTTTTAATTAATTCAAAAGTTTGATTTTTATCGGCGGCATATATAAAAACTATTTTATTTCATGAAAATTAACTTTTTATATAAAATATTTTAAACCAACTTTTCGTAGTCGGCCTTCAGATTAATGATGGCTTCGAGGTTTTCAATCTTCTGTTGCAGAGAGTTGATGGTCAGCTGAGCTTTAGGGATTTCTTCCAACTGTTCATTCAAAATGCATCTCAATGATACGATATCAATAAAACGATGATATCAATTGTATGATATGATATCCATTGTATGATATGATATCAATTATATGATATCAATTATATGGTGGAAAGGTTGAAGATTAGGACGTAACAGAGTTCGGAATGTGAACGACCTGATTTAAAAGTCTACACTTATTGCAGTGTTTGTGTTGAGCAGAGATGTCTAAAACAATTATTATTTGTACGTGTTGTCATTCATGAACAAATGAGTTACTACAAAATTGTGAGACTGTTACATTGGGCAGTTAGAATTTTTCAAAAATTAATAACTATTAATCCCATTTCAGAAATATAACAAAGTTTAATTTGGACAAATTGAAAGGACAACATTCGTATCTTTCATCATTGGCACATAGCGCAAACATATCAAACAGCATCTTTATCATCCTCATCCTCATCATCTTCCTCATCATCCTCGTCACCTGCTTCTCCATAAGATTGTTGTGCATTCTTAGTTGATTGATCTCACTATTCCTCAACTCCATGACAGCCCTCAAGCTGTCCACCTCCTGCTCCAAGTATCTGCGTTCATTGTATATCATCGTATCATTCTATCATTATACCGTTGTATCATTGTACCATTATGTCATTACATCAATAAATCATTGTACCATTATATCATTGTATCATTATATCATTGTATCATCTATCACTGTATTATGTATATATTCAATAAAGTCAAACAGTTAAGATACGTGCGTTGTTTTTTGGGGGGATATATTTTTCTGACTCAAAGATAGTCATCATTTTGAAGCATTTTCTAACTCCATCAAACTTTTTTGATTCCAATTTTCAATATCGTCTTCAAAATTGATACAATTAACGAAACTTTTACAAACACATAAGATACCACAGGCAAGTTAATTCAGACAGTAGATAGGTAATGATTCCACGCGCTAACATACGCAAGCAGTCTGCCCGTAACGCAAAAATATCATACAAGCCTTTTGCGCGTGTCTTTAGTTGTTTTCGTATAGATATGAATTTACTATATGTAAATCATGTGGTGTGGAGGTTGCAGTCTGTATGGTACGAAAGTTTGACTGTATGCAAGTACCTAAGTATGCAAGAAAGAATTTTCAAACATTTCTGCGTTTTTCGGGACAGTACGTGCTATAGAAGATATCAAAGATATCTGTATCATGAGTTAAATGTACCAAACCATCAGGAGAAACAACGTCACACTGCCCCCAACCCAACAACCAAACCCAATATCAACACCAGAGAATTATGAAGATGATAAGCATGATGAACCACAAACTTGTGTGAGAGCATGGTTCCTGGAGATCCCTGGCTGGTCGGCGTACTCATCCCACTCCCCTCCCTGGCATTCCTCCTCATCATATCCTGGTAGTCATTGTGCAGTTGCACGTTTTTTTCCTGGTTAAGGTACGTGCGATGCAAATGTTTGTGTGTGTGTGTGTGTGTGTGTGTGTGCGTGCGTGTGTGCGTGTGTTATTTAAATTGTTATTTACGGTTTGATGGAGGAATGAAATTAATTACTTTTTTTATCATTATAACGACGATGATTGAACGAATATGTGTGAAAATGTGTGGTAAAGATGATGAGGAAAGTTATAAATGCATGACGACGACAGTGTGGTGGAAGCACATGTGCACTGCACACAGAAATAATTGATAGATAATAATAATAATAATAACAAGAAGAAGTAGATATAAGAAGAAGAAAAAGAAGAAGAAGAAGAAGTAGAGAGAAAAAGAAAAAGAACAGATGAAGAAGAAGAAGAAGAAGAAGAAGAAGAAGAAGAAGAAGAAAAAGAAGAAGATGAAGATGATGAAGAAGAAGATGAAGATGAAGATGATGATGAAAAAGATGAAGAAAAAGAAGAAGAAGAAGAAGAAGAAGAAGAAGAAGAAGAAGAAGAAGATTAAGAAGAAGATTAAGAAGAAGAAGATTAAACTGAACTTACATTGAGGTGCTCCTTGATGTCTTCGTAATGTTTCGTGACGTTGTTAATGCGAGACTCGTATGACTTCTTCAGGGCTTCAACATCATTTATTTATGATAATTGTTATAGTGAGTAAAGATTAAAGATCCTCACAATCATCAACATCGCTTACATCATCGGCCTACTATAACTTATATCTATTTCAAACTTTTATTAGATATTTTCTTCTCATGGCTTGCGCTTTCTTCTCGTACGCAAATATTTTCCTGCCGACTAGGTTATGGTGTTCGCCTAATATTCATCATCATTACAAATACTAAATAATCTCCGCAACAAATAATAAAGTAATTAATTTCATTCCTCCATCAAACCGTAAATAACAATTTAAATAACACACGCACACACGCACGCACACACACACACACACACACACAAACATTTGCATCGCACGTACCTTAACCAGGAAAAAAACGTGCAACTGCACATAATAATTTTAAATGTTAAAAGATTTCGGAAGAGAGTTAAAAAGTTATTCGTTCAACAAAGCATTTAATCACACCTACTATCCTCTGAAGAATGTCAATAGAGTGAATAACATAATAATAATAACTATAATAATTATATAATAATAGTAATAATGTGACATTTTTTTATTCAATATTTTTCATATTGAATGTTATTCTCAAATTTTATTTTATAAAAATCAATATAATCGGTAACAGATGGCCGAAACAAAAAAAAATAGTGGCCTCGATCACTGCTGCATGGTGAACTACGCTGTTTGTAATTATAAATTCACTCATTCACTCATTCATTCATTCGTTCGTTCGTTCATTCATTCATTCATTCATTTATTTATTTACTCACTCACTCACTCACTCACTCACTCACTCACTCACTCACTCATTCATTCACTCACTCACTCACTCACTCACTCACTCACTCACTCACTCACTCACTCACTCACTCATCCATCCATTCATTCATTCATTCATTCATTCATCCATCCATCAATCCATTCATTCATTCATTCATTCATTCAACGATCCAACACACAACTGTCGTACGTACGTACGTACGTTCGTTTGATGAGTGATACTCTAAATGGTTTTATGATCTTAACCCTATATGCATTTAAACTTTAAGGCGAGATCTCACGCGTGTCAATAAACAGAAAGGAAGTTACATTGTACTATGCAAAATTCATTTCTTTTAAAGAAAATTTCTAAATTTGAATGAAAATTAATATTATTTCGTCGTATCGTTTTTCAGAAATTAACTAAAAAAATCACAATTAATACATTTAGCACTTTAAACCTTTATAAATTCCACATAAACATTTTTAATTTAAATAACGTCAGAGGCTGAAATTTAACTTAGAGAAGTCATCAAAATGTTCCAACAACATACCAGATAAATAAATATTGCTTGGTTAATATAAGGAACATAAACTATTGTAAAAACAGACATAACAGTCAAAATCGAAGTTATAAATTTTGAGAAGAAGAACCGGCTGCCAACCTTCCAGTTGATGTGTAAATTCACTTTTAAGAACCTCCAGCTTGCTCTCATACTCGTGCGTGACTGTCGTGATTTCGGAATCGTGTTGTGACTTCATCTCTGATAGCTGGTGAGGAAGTTGAAAAAGGTTAAAAAATTTTCAGTTTGTGCGGCCATTTTGGCGGCGTGATAGCCGATGTCATATTTTGATGATACAATTGCCGTAATAATTAAAGGTGCCTTGGTTCTTTCTGATTCACAGTGTCCGGGTTCGAATACAAAGAAATTCCCGCCTATCCACGTTTTTTGTGTGTGAGACGTCGTAGTATTTGCTTGTATTCATAAGTATACACTGTTTGTTAGAATAGTGCAATGAACATCGTCACAGTTTAATTTTACATAACATTTCCTATTGTGGAAGAGACGATGTGATGAATGAATGTGGCGTATCGTAATGATAGAATGTCTCGTCTGCATGACATCATCATCAGATTCGAGGGCGAAAAAATCTTCACCCAACATATGCAAGATGTTTAAAATGCAAACATTATGAGTATCTGTGTGTGTGATGTGTGTGAGTGTGTGTGTGTGTGTGGTGTGTATGTGTGTGTGTGTGTGTGCAACTCGATGTCACTGAGCTCTGATGGAGCACATTCAAACGCAACAAAGACTACATCAATAACTTCACGTACACACAAACACAGCTGATTAATTCATGTATGAACTTCTAGCTAATAATAATAATGACAAAATGGTTGGCCTTTGAATGATTTGTACAGTTAAATTCAACAATGAAGCTTGCGAAAGCAATCACAATGCATTTGTAAGTTCACTCAAAGGCATGGCAAGATGTACACATAATTAATATGCAAATTACGGCGTGCCTTCGATTGTGATGTTGTTATCATCGGTACTAACACGGAAACATTTTAATTTGTACTTGTTTGATGCTGAAACTAATGATGGGTTGCTATCAAACTTGCCGAACAGTCATACAACTACCAGCAGTTGGCTATTTGCTATCATTTTTCGTCATTACCATTTAATTTTACGAAATAATTCTTATAAAAGAAAATCTATGGTCAACATCATTGTAATGATTACGTAAAATGATAACGTTTATACCAAAGAAACGATCGTACACTTGCAGTGGTGCAAATGTTGCTGATTTAATTTATAATATAATCAGAGTTAATTTCAGAAGCACGCACCGCCAACGAGACATTTAAGTAAAGCTGAACATTATAAGCATTGAATGAAAGCTTGTAACTATCGAGAACATGCGGATAAGAATAACAATGCTGCCATGCACTGAAACAAAAACTATAACATTTTATTTCATTTTAGAGATATTAAACCAGGTTTGAAAGATTTTACAATGTTTTGCCAACCAAAATTCTGATAACTTGCCATTGTATATAACAAACTTATCAAAACGCTAAACAATCTATTGAATTAGAACCAGAAATCGAGCATATGTAATCATACGTCACCTTTCCAAATTATTATTCGCTTGAATGAAACATTAAAAAATTATTTAAAAGCGATTAAACGGTAAAACATATTGAAAAGCAAAAAACCAAAAAAATTAAACCAGTTTATAGCACATCGATAACCATGCAAAGCCAACAATTAAGAAAAATAACTGAGTGAATTAACAAGCTTACATGCTGAAACGAGTTGATACCTCTTACCAAGTTTTCGGCCTGCGTTTGAATGTTCTCCAATTCCAGTTTGTGCTGCTCCGTGGCTGTTCAAAATGAGATATCGCAACTTGTATTGAATTTAAATTAATCTTATCATTGCCAAAAAATCTGAACCAAAATTTTTCATAAAACATTTTGAGGAATCTTCCTAATATATTATTAATACAGTCAATATTATCTCACAATATCATCATCTTATTGCGTTTTTCATTCTTAACAAAAAAACCCGCCCCTCCCCTTAAATCATCATCTCACTTACTGGCCCTCTTGTCAGTTTCGGCTTCGTGTTTCAACCTCATTTCGAGTTCGACAAGTTGTTGTTCGTGTGCGCTCTGCAGCGAAGTCAGCTCAACCTGGTGCTGATCCTTCATGATCTTCATATTGATCTCCAGGGCCTTCTGCAGGCGAGCCGCGCCATCTGGTCGGTTGGTGGTTTTATTTTCATTTCTGTTATTCTCAATAATTTGTTATTGCATTTCTCAAAGTGTACTGGTTGAACGTTAAAGACTGAGATCTTTACCCAAAATGTTTGCAATGTTTTACTGTTTCAAAACAATTTTTTAAATTACAAATTAAATATGCTTTGTAGGGTTTGAACATTTTTTTGAAATTAAAATATAATGATAAAAACTTGTGCTAAAATTAGGAAATTATATAAAATTTTAATTTGATTTGATTAAGCAAAGTTTGTTCATAGTTTGTGGTTTGTTGTACGTGAGTATGAACATGAGATTAAAAATTGCTCTTTTGATGGAGCAAATTATAGATGGAAAGGATAGATTCATAGATTTTTAAAAGGAGTCATTTTGAAATAAATCTGCTACTCGGTTTATTAATCAATTTACCAAATATTTGAATGAATGAATGATTGATTGATTGATCGATGGATTGATTGATTGATTGGTTGATTGATTGATTGATTGATCGATGGATTGATTGATTGATTGATTGATTGGTTGATTGATTGATTGATTGATTGATTGATTGATTGATTGATTGATTGATTGATTGATTGATTGATTGATTGATTGATTGATTGATTGATTGATTGATTGATTGATTGATTGATTGATTGATTGATTGATTGATTGATTGATTGATTGATTGATTGATTGATTGATTGATTGATTGATTGATCGATCAATTGAAGGAATAATACGCCCAAAGTCAAACAAAGACGCGAGTGTAGGCAGATGTACAACCTACACATCAACCGTACAGTACGAAGTGCTTCTGAAGTGCAACAAAGCCTGTAACAGAATAGGACACACAGACTCTCTCCTCAATGATAAAACAAATAAGCAGACATTTGAGTGTGGCGAATTTTAAATGCGACCAACAATGACGACGACCAAGATGACGATTATTTTAAAAGGAGTCATGTTGAAATGAATCTGCTACTAACCATAATAATATAATTTTAATATAACTATGATGCAATTATGATATAAAGTATAATTAATGGCTTAAAATCTTTTGTTAGTCTCGCTCTAGCGTAAACTGACGTGCGTTTAACGCTAATTCGAATCACATCGAATCACTAAATCGATCGCTACGGGCATTAAAAACAAATGGCTGGTTATGACGTCAGAGATACAAAGATAGCATATCAAACTCCCGAAAAACGATATGATGATAACATGACCAAAGTGGGAACTGTTCACAAAATTTAGGCACATAAATGGATCATAATCATAAATGGATCCAAGCGGCACAAACGTAATTTGTCATGTCATCACTGATGATATAGTATCAAACACGTTCACAATTGACTACATACGTGCGAACCAATATCCAATCAATGCATTAGCATTAGATGGCACCACAACCAAGCAGCAGACACACGCTGACGCACAGCAGTAGCTACTTGTACTTCAAAAGATTAACCGTGCAAAAATAAAGTAAACATATCTGCTACGTGTTAATATCAATATAAGAACATCAACATCATCGGCTTCACGTGAATAATCTCATTAGGATCTATTTTAAAATATCAACAAACTCTGAAATGATGATAATACATATACACTACTACACTGTATATATAATTTGGCATGTTGCACACACACACACACACACACATGCACACCCACGCACACGCACACTAACACACAGAGGGGGGGGGGGAGGGAGAGAGAAACAAACACACACACACACACACACAAACATATTTATTTACGTTTGTGTGCGTGTTTGAGTAAGTTCGTGTGTGTGTTTTGTGTGTGTGTGTATGTGCTTGTGTGTGTTTGTGTGTGTGTGTGCAAGAAAGGGCCTCGAGCGTCCACTCAGAAGCAGTCGAACGTATGCTGATTTACATATTAATACGTGCTGAATTTTATCATTGTAATTATAATCATCATCAGATTTCATTATCATATCATATTTATTATTATCACAATCATCTTATTATTGTTATAACTTAAATAATTAATTATCTTTCATTGATTTAAATTCTAAAAATTGTTTACTTCGCGAATAGAAAAGCCCTATCTAGAGAAAAAAGGCTATAAGACCACGCAGTGGTATGTTTCGAATGATGTCTGTGCCGAACTCTAAAAATACGAGTCATATGGTAGGAGTTAATAAGTACTGACGAGTATATACAACATGTGTGTGTGTGTGTACTGTGTGTGTTTACTGTGGTGTTGGAATGTGTACCATGACAACATGACATAATGAGGCTTATAGTGTGTGCCACCTAAAAACCTTGTTTACCAACTTCTCGCAACTTCTCGCTGCTGCAGAGTCGATATTGGATCACTACCATAATACTTTTGCAACTGTTGTATTATATTGCAACTGTTTGTCAAAGCAGTTGAGGAGAATGTTGGTGTAGAAGTTGTTGCAGCCACCACCATAGCTACAAGAACTACAACTTCTCGCTGCTGCAGAGTCGATATTGGATCACTGATACTTCTTACTATACACAAGTACATGCAACAACCCTACCATATGCAAACCACATGATATTATAAACACACATACAAGTGGGTAGGTATAATATTAATTTGTTTGTATATTTGTATCGATTAGTTGAACAGCTGAACGGTTCAACGGGTGATGCCAAACATGTACTATGTGTCTGTCTGTCCGTCCGTCTGTCTGTTCGTCCGTCTGTCTGTCTGTTTGTCCGTCTGTTCGTCCGTCTGCATGTCTGTCTATGTGGCGAGTAACGCGGCAGTTACCATCGCTTTTATCATCGTCCTTCTTTGTTATCATTTCATCATCTGGATCGTGTTATTACGTCAAAAATATTACATCCCACTATCATGATCATCATGATTATTTAGCTTGTTATCGCCGTTATAGTCATTTTATCATCAATCAGTCTCATCACTACAAACACAAAACACGTACACACACACACATACGCACACACACGCAGCAACATTTATGTACATTGTACACACACACATATACAAACACACGCGCTCATACTCATGTACACACAGTACACACACAAACACACATGCACAAGAATGTATTTAAAATCTACTTTAACACTTCTCTCTAGATAGCTCTTCTTACACTCCTCACTCATAAAGCCAGCACGAACGCTACAGAATGTAACATAAACAAACTTCGTTCATATCTGAACGTTGACCACGGTTTAGCTTAACAAAAATTGTTGCATTCATATAAAAGGCATGTTGCAGTAAAGTAGAAGTGACAGTAGTATTAGTGTTGTAGTAGTAGTAGTTGTAGTAGTAGTAGTAGTAGTAGTAGTAGTAGTGTAGTAGTAGTGGTAGTTGTTGTTGTTGTAGTAGTAGTAATAGTAGTAGTGGTGGTGGTAGTAGTGGTAGTAGTAAGAGTGTAGTAGTAGTAGTAAGAGTGTAGTAGTAGTAGTAGTTGTAGTAGTAGTAGTAGTAGTGGTGGTGGTGGTGGGGGTGGTAGTAGTAGTAGTAGTAGTAGTAGTAGTAGCAGAACCTAGTTCATTTATAGAAAAAAAAGAAGGAAATAGATCATAAAAACAATAAAAATACGAGATAATAATATTAGCAATAATAATAACAACAAACTAATAACAACAACAATAACAATAATTATTATAACAATAATAATAATAATAGAAGGAGTATTATTATAATTGAAACAACAAAAAATCACACACAAAAATACATACAAACACGCACAATACAGACAAAAGCACAGGTGTTCTTACGTTCAAATAGACAGCTATTACCTTACAAATGCATTACACACAATACATCTGTTAGAAAAAAAAATTGTTGGCCCTAGATGATAATTTATGAGTGTTCTTCATAACTGGAGGAGGTTGAAATGAATGAAAATGACTTCTATGTGCGGATAAAATAAAGCGTGTAGAATGAAAGGGTTTGTTTGAGTAAAGGTTTCTTTGTACGTATCTACTTGTAGTTAGCGTCTGTGTGAGTCATCATTGTTAGGTTATCATGTTTTTTAGTTTAGGTTTAATCTCCACCGTGTTTTAATATTTTTTTTTCATATTTTAAATAAATGTTATCGCTACTGTCCTGGCTTTGCTACTACTCACTCATTACATTATCACATCACCCGGTTTTTCTTATTGTTATCTCCACTGTTTCCATCATCACCACTTAGTACTTCATTATCATATTATCAGTTATCAGTGCATTCAAATCGTCGATATCTATCACAGTGTCGACATTCTCGTCTGCTAAATTAACATCATCACCGTCGTCGTCATCACCACTATCATCATCATCACCATCATCATCATCATGAACCTATTATTCAATATTAATTTAATTTAATAATTTCTACTAATCCATATTTAATATGTGACAGGAATAATTTAAAAGTTTATATTTTAAACACCGTTTAATAGTTGTCAATTAAGGGTGAAATTTTGAGCTTGAAAACATGAAAATTCATCAATCCAAATTAAAATAAGCATATATAAACTAATATTCCAACTGGATTTCATAGATGACTCAACTATATAAAACAAACGAATATATTACACGAAATTTGCTCGTCAAATCAGATTTCATCAAATTTAATTAGAATAAGAAAATGAAATGGTCAAGCAACAAGTACAACTAGAAATACTAAATAATTATTAATAATAATAATAAAGTAATGTTTATATTGTTTGAAACAGGCAAACCATTCACATTCACACATAAAAGCATGCAGGCATTTATAAAAAGTTTGAAAAAAGTTTGCCAACGAACCAAGTTGTTGCTGAGCCTGGTTCAGTTGGGAGTACAAATCAGCCAAACGTGCTTTCAACTCTGGTGTTCTGAATGCTTCCAACTGGATAATGTACATTTATATTTTTTAGTTCAAGTTTTATTTTAAACAAATCATCAGTTTTTTTTATATAATAAGTAATTAATTAATAGCTAGCTAGCATTTAAAAGCTCTTATACTATTGATGTTGAATTTGTGAACGCATTGAATGATAAAAATGATTGGAAAAAGATTGATATTATTTACTGCTCATTATCGATAGTTGCCTCTAATTAAACGTAAACCATAATTATTTTCTGATTGCATCGTCATCATCGTCGTCAACATCGTTGTCGTCATCATCGTCATTGCTACTCATGTTACACTATGTTGCTACTATAACAACATTAAGAGCAGCAACAGCAGCTCCACCATGATTTAAACAAATTTGACTAAATTAAAGACAGGGACAAAATGTGAAAAATTAAAAAACATATCGGTGTTGGCTGCATCGCAATTGACGTTATATCAAAGCCACGCAAAAATATACTTTCAACGAACATCGTCAGCAAGATATTTGAAGAGAACCAGGATCGCTTCCATTCCTGAATTCTTCTCACGTATTACAGAGTCCTTCGTCTTTATGCTTTTCATCTGCTGGTCACACAACAACTTCTGCTTGATCAGTTCATTCGTTACCTCGTCTAGCATCTGTTTGGACTTCTTGGATTCAGATTTGTGTCGTTTGAATATGGATGACGACGACGATGAACATGACTTGGGTGGCAGGGCTGATGATAAAGTTGGAGACGTTGTGACTGTCGTCTTGCTGGGACTCATCGGAAGTGATGTCGGCGTTGTTGGAATTTGTTGTTGTTGTTGCTGCTGCTGCTGTTGCTGCTGCAGTTGTTGGTGTTGATAGTGGTGTTTTGCTGGGGCTTGCTGCTTGGTTGGTGTCACTTGTATAACCATGGATTCCGTAGGAGAAGTCTTCACTGTGATTTCTGATGGTGAGGTAGAGGTTGGTTTTGTTTTGAGAACTGTAAGCTCTTCCTCCGCGGGTGACGCTCCAGCTGACGTTGACGACTTCTCCGTCTTGCCGGTTGACGGCGATGATGATATCGTTGTCTTCGCGGCTTTTGCTTTCCGTTGGTTTGACTCTGAAAAATTTTTCATTTGTAATTAGTTTTAATTATTAAAAAATTATTTGTTAGAAAGTATGACTCTGTTCTGTCTTTACTGGAATGGAAACAGAATTTCAGAATTGAATGTTGAAAAGGGATTCATTTTAATACGTAGCAATTCACAATAATGTTTCACGTTTGTGATATTCAATCGGCAATTAGACGCCTCATAGCATAGGCTCTCAATCAAAACATAATTGCTTCGAAAACAACGTCACAAACAACTTAACAACTTAACACACAACCATTCAAAATTAACTCTTGTCGGTATGTGATATTTGTGAAAATAATAAAACTTAGTTAATATTATTTATAATAAAAAATATGGATTTTACAATTGATTCAAATTAAATAAATAACACACTTTCATATATTAAATAATGCTGATTTCATTTTCTATAATTAAAAATTTCTATAATTATAATTTCATTTTATTTTACGAGAAATAAAAAGATAAGGATAGGAGATAAGAAAAGACATAATAAAAACGTCAAAAATGTTACTTAGCACAATACTTAATAGAGCAAATATACTACATGTACACGTTAAAATTGAATTTTTGATAAGATCAATCAATGATTCTTCAATTCGTTTTTAATCCTTTTCCCACATGTTTGAAAATGTTTGTAGTGCGTGTGTGGATGGTAATATGTACGTACAGTATACTACACGACGCACATTTCAATAAATCATCATAACAGATCCCTCCTTAAACAGCATAACAGATCTGTCCATATCATGTTCTCTCCTTTTAATGCTCAAATCATCTTTCTGAAATGTTTTTGACGAGATATTTTGTAGTGTATTTGAAATTGTTAAAACTTTAAAATTTAAACATCAACTAAGACCATTTGAAGAAGTTCATTTTGGGAGAAAGAAAAAAATTGATAATAATAATTCAACTTTTGTATAATTAATAAGGAAGCCGACTTTTAACTCGAGATCTCCTGATTAATTGAAATTATAAATCTATTATTTAACGGTCAATTAAAAGTTTAGTCATTAAATTTTTAATAATTTTAATTTATTCAATTTTTTTGTGGTAATAAATTAATTATCAGATAAGCAAACAAAAACGAGAATTTTTAGATTACTCAAACAGCGGTATGTTCTGTAACCTCATTTACCTTATTATTATTAAATTGATCAATAATTTCCAAACCCTAGAAATTTAGAAAAATTCACAATTTCATAACTATTATAAATAAATATAAAAATTTTTGTGTGTTCGTAATTAAAAAATTGAAAGATTATTAAAATAAATCTCGAAAAATACTTGTTTCTGCTTTTGAGGCCTTAGCAATTTTTGTAGTTTTTGTAGCTTTTTGTGGTTTTTCCTTGCGGGAGGAAGAAGATTTCTGCTTTCCGTGGCAACCTCCCATTTTAAAAATACTCCTGAAGAATTATACGTGGATTGCTAACAGAGTTTTTTCCGTTGGAATGCAGTTGATGTGCTTCTAAAAAATAAAAAACTTCTCCTCTCGAGAGTTGTTGCTGGTAACGAAGCGAATAAAGGCTAATAAATGTTGCACGTTGACTGCGAAATCTAATTAAAAACTGTTCGAAAACTATAAAGAGACAGCTGACACCGACAACAGCCAACACACCAACATTACATTTCTACGAACTAATGTTAGAAAAAACGATGTTGGTCGATTGATCGATACCGCCTTGTTAATTTCTGGTCCACTCCTCGCGAAACGACATCTGCTACATGACTACGAACTTCTGCACTCTCACTCTAACATAGGCCTTCTACAAATTTGTATAATATTATTACACGTGTATGTATATATATATATATATATATATATATATATATATATATACATATACAGCAAGCACAAGCCTATGATATATACTAACCTAACAAAACATTATCGATGTTTGGGCATACAAAAATTAAACATTGCAAAGGTTTATATACAAACAGAAGTTAGCATATAGATGACCTCGTCTCAAAAACACGCATGGTACAACATCATACACCTGTATCGTACATACACACGCGCGTGTACACCAACAACTGCATCCTTCAATGCTATTTTCTAGTTGTTCATACAAGATGCATGTATCAATGCGTTCTCTCCATGTCATATTACCGCAGCGTATATTTCTTATTAATATCATATCAATACAACTCTACGCCAAACTACCAGCCGGAGTGTACTTATTAACACAACCATGTTCTCTATCGCTGGTTCATATAACTGTTCAGCTATTCATTCTTATATACCGGTTCACCATTGCGTATGTACAGCGTATATGCGTTTATTTATACATACTGCATATATATATGTAGTGTATGTGTGTGATATATATATATATATATATATATATGTGTGTGTGTGTTTGTGTGTGTGATGTATGCGTATGTGTAATATATGAAATGCATTTTATATATTGTACGAGATGCACATATGTGTTGCATTGTACGCCTTGCCTATTCATAAGTGGTCAGAATGAATTTGTGCTCTTCTTATTCAAGGCGTGTTTCTGAATTATAAATACTTGCTTCTAGAGCAAGATCAAAACACACACACACACACACACACATACACACACAGAGAAAGAGAGAGAGCGAGAGAGAGAGAGAGCGAGAGAGAGAGAGAGAGCGAGAGAGAGAGAGAGCGAGATACGTATGTATAATTATTGTTTTTATTTTTATACATATATATATATATTTATTTATTTTTATTAATTTAAAGGCGAGTTATACAAATCATTGAATGATGTTTCTTTATACAAAACATCTGCTAAACATTTAACATGTGTTGCCATTGGCCCAAACTGGCCTATGATATAATGTAATGGAAGTTGCTATATGCGCCATCCTGTAATAAACCGTGAGATGTTTTTGTTCCTCGAGTTCCTTTCAACTTTAAATATTTGGCTAATTAGGTTAATTAGACATGCATGTATTAGTATGCATACAAATATAAAGTAACACAGACAATATATATGTAACATTTTTATGTGAATCTTGTTTTTTGTAGGTTGTTAGAAGATTTCGAATGCAAGATCAATAGTTGTATACTGTTATGTCTAGAATGCATGGTGTATGCTTTATGTGATGTTCTATTTATGTGTGTGTGTGTGTGTGTGTGTGTGTGTGTGCGCGTGTATGTTATGTATGTGTCGGTGAGATGTTATGTGTGTGTATGTTGTTATGTATGCATATATGTTTGTATACTGTCTGTGTGTGTGTATTTACCGGGCTACCGGTTGCTGAAAATAGAATCATTCTTCCTATTTAATGTGCAAATCATTACGTAATTTATGTATTGAGAGTGTTTTTAAATTTTTTTTTATCAAATCGACAACATTAATGAACGACTTGTATTCTTGTTCATTTTCCACTAGAATAATGAGATGCGGATGAAAGTTGAGTGTGTGGAGATATAGAGATGTGGAAAATGGAGAGGTAATGGAGAGGTAATGGCGAGAGAGAGAGAGAGAGAGAAAGAGAGAGAGAGAGAGAGTCAGTTATCAAGTTCGCGCCGTGTTTTTTAAATAGCCAGCAACCAATTAATGATAATTAATTTCCTGTCGCATGTACGTGTTCGGATTAATAATTCAGTTCCCCTTGTGTTAACTAACTCATCATCGGTCGGTGGCTATTTTTGTGAGATGCGAGCATAAACAACACTTGGCAAATGCTATCATATTGTCTTTCGGGGTTTTTATGTTCCGTTGTGACTGCTAAATAGTCGCGTGTGTATATATATATTTGTGTGTGTGCGCGCGCGTGTGTGTGTTCACATGAATATTTCAGTGTGTATATATATGCTTGTGTGCCTGTGTGTGTTTGTGTATGCGTGGTCAGTTATTGTTAAAGAGTCCATGCCAGTTTTTGTGTGTCTGTGTTTCGGTGGCTTGTGTCAGCATTTTTTTTTACGTTTCCATAGTGCTGTTGCAAGTTGCACATCAACCATCGATAAATTTGCTATTTGAAAATATGCTTGTGCATAACTTCAACTGTCAAATGGATGCAATTTTTCACCACATACTTACATCGTTAGACAGAATTTAAAACTGGGCATAATTTAAAACTTTGCAGTCAATTTTGACACTTTGGCAACTTAAATAGCTGACCAACAGGCCTGATGACTTTAGTTAACGCTGGATTGCAGGCTCTTGCTTACCTTGCACCATAACTCTCCTCTCCCCTTGTAGTTATCGTGACCAGTTTTTGTGGCTGTTTCATCACAGATCTCCAGTAGCAAGGCCAAAAATTCAAATGAAAAATGACACATAAAAATATTGAAATATGTCACTATATGCTAGCTATAGCGATTAAAACTATTAGGTTCTTAAAAAAACAGAAGATGCTGAAACGATTGAAATAACTCGCGAGTGAATAAAAACATCATCAAAATCAACAGAAAGTCAATCAATTTGTTGAGTGTGTGATTTTACATGTACGTGTATGTATGTGTGTTTGTGTGCGTGTGTATGTGTGTGGCGTAACGTAACGTAACGAAGCGATGAATATCCATGATGAATATCCATCACATAACGCTGAGCTTTTAGTATTGGATGAAGCGCATGCAATTTAAAAATTCCATGTCTCTCTGCATACTATACATTAAATGCCAATAAGAATGATTGTAAATACTCCATTTTCACGCAGCGAATGGAATATTTCAGTACAGAAGTACGTGTGTTGAGGTTTTGGGTGCTTGCTCACATCAACGAGCACCATTAAATTCGTTCAATTAGAATTTATGTTAAATAATAATTTTAATAATTATAGAATGTTTATTATTTTATTAGTATTTATTTAGCCACAATTAACTTTAATGAGAATTGAGTAAAAATAATAAATTGTATAATCACATTATAAAACATAAAAACATGACGAAGCGTTTAAAAGAAACGAAATTTAAAATGAAAAAAGACGAAACTTTAAAACGAAACGAAATTGAAACTATTTAAAATCGTAATTTATTGGTCGCGATATACTGAGTTGGGCCCGCAAAGGTATTTTGCCTTGTTCGCCAAAAAAAGGTCGCCACAAATCTTAAAAAAAATGTTTAAGTACATATGCGGCCCTTCAAAGGTAAAATAGTTTTCAATGCGGCCCTCATAGCAAAAAGTTTGTCCACCCCCCCCCCCCTCGAATAGAATAATAGAAATTAACTTTTTATTAACAGACTCTACTTTTGACATTTATTTATAATATATACGTTTTTTACTTTTTGAAAAACAAACCAGGAAAATAATTTTATTGAAAAAAAAAACAAGTTGGAGCTTTGATAAAACAAACAAACTTCATATTATTCCATTTAAACCAACAAACCATCAAGTTGAAAATGAGCGCTTACAAATATTTTTTCAACACTCAGCAGATATCGTACTCAAAAATGAATGTTTTCATACATCAGGGTTGGGCAAACTACGGTCAAAGGTTAAATAGTTTTCAGAGCGGTCCTCACAGGAAAAAGTTTGCCCACCCTGTAAGTAATACATAAATCAGATCAGGAACAAGAATTTTAAGATCGGAGTTAATGTTGGATGTTAATTTTTTATAGCTTACTCATATTGGGCATGATTATTGAACATCATCAGACACATTTTAAGATTTATGTAAAATAAATAATTTTATTTCAACATTTGTTCATGGTATTTTCAGTCTTTAATTAACTCTTAAGAAATTGCTTTATTAATAATTATTCAATTAATCCAATCATTTTATTATACTGATAAATTATTTATAGCGTTGATAATATCCATCCGTTAAACTTGTAATAAAGGTCAAACCACTAATTAAAACAATTTTTTCATAATTTGAATTTCAATTATTTTCTTTTTGCAAAAAATTTACTTTTTATTTTATATTTTAAGAGTAGACTGCAAATCAACTAAACAACTCGATTCAGACAAAGCAGCAACACATTTATATTTTAACTGTAGAATCAATATTGCATCTCATATTAATTGATATTTGCCTTAAAAAAGACTCTTCATCAACAGAATACACGAATACAAAAACGAATTTTCATCCGGTTGAATCAATAAAACAAATGGAAACTAAACAAACGAATGATAAGATAAACATTCGTTTATTTCAAGTTTGTTTATGTTACAATGTACGACAAATGCTAATTATTAAATTGAATACAATACGTAAATGTCTGTGTGTAATCTCGATATGTGTTTCTGTGGTTTGGTTGTAGACTAATTTCGTTAATTTTTAAAGTTTCATTGTTTCTTTTTTGTAGTGATTTTTTTAAATTTGGCTAACAATTATTTATACATTTCTTTTTTAATTTCATAAAATTCAAAGGAATCAAGGCAGGCAGAGCGTGCACCCACGCACGCACGACGCAGTCTGCGTATGATATTCAAACCAGGGTCGTCCACAAAAGGAGAAAGAAGA